CTTTATTTTTATCATTTTTTAGGCTTACGCCTCGATCTCGCCTCGCTTAGTCAAAACTACTCGATTCCCGATTTCGCCTTTTAAAACGTTGAGGTTGATTAAGAGTACTGAGTGCATCATAATGATTAGTACTAGAACTTTCCCTCCAGCACTTTTTTGTAGATGCCATTATTCAGTGCTAAGGATTGAGATAAATTGTTTAAGGTGTTGCTAGTTGCTACTATCTGCAGTGGCGACAATCAACTTGTTCTGATTTTTGATGTTGCTACTATCTGCAGTCAAATGTTCGTAAAGAAAAAATTAGGAAACCTGATACGCCATGTGTGGTTTGCAGTGGAAGTGGAAGAGTTGATTGTCGCCACTGTCAAGGAAGAGGTCTCAATCCCCTCTACTGCTATCATATTTACATTTAAACTAAACCTTTGCTATGTACTATATGGAACAATCCTTCTTCTGAAACTTATTGCAGGAAGGACCAACCATGTAAACCTAGTTATGCTTCCGAAAGGAGAATGGCCACAATGGTGAGTAACTGAGGCTCTATTCTTTTTTAAAGCGTCCTTGGATTCAGAACCAAGGAATTACACTTCAAAATCCCACAATTTAGAGCCTTCTTTTTTATATTTTTGGTCCATTCATGCTTTTCCATCGTTTGGGACGTTTTTTTTACTGCTTCTTAAAGCAGCTTTCTAGTAAAAAAAATTTAATTTTTATATTAAAAAGCTGCTTCATAAAATAGTAAAAAAACCGTCCCAAATGAACCCTTAATCTTTATCAAGTTAAAATATTAATCAAATTCCTGTATTAGTAACATTGATCTGGAAATATATATCTTGCTTCAAAACAACTAGAATTTGCACAATTTTTGGTCCGTTCACCCCCTTTTATGAGAATAAAAAGATGGAGGATATAAAGAAATTGCGATCTAAATCGTTTTTACTGATCTTGATAAAAAAGCTTGAGAGGTTATGCAGGTGCAAAGTTTGTGGTGGAAGTGGACTTGATTACTGCAACCGATGCCTTGGGACAGGGGAGTACAGAGACGTCATGGGGTTTCATTTCATGAAAATGGACACCAACTCATTACAGCGTTAAATAGAGGAATGTAAAATCTCATATATATTTATTTGCTGTATTCCCTCTTGTAAATGTTATTCTTATTTTTACTTAGTTTTTTTTTTTTGGAGTGTTTATCATCTGACCTTTAGTATATGGCCATTCATAAAATCTTACTCATTATGTCTAGAATTGACAAAATAAATAAATAAA